AATAACGATTTGATCCCCTTCACAAAAACATGACTTAGTACTTGGTGGCAAATCCCTTGTTGGCAATCACAGAGGTCTGACGTTTTCTGGAGTTGGCCCCCAGGTTCGCACACATTTCAGGAGGGATTTTGGCCCACTCCTCTTGGCAGAGCCTCTCCAAGTCATTAAGGTTTGGTGGCTGACGTTTGGCAACTCGAACTTTCAGCTCCCTCAACAGATTTTCAATCAGATGAAGGTCTGGAGACTGGCTAGGCCACTCCAGGACCTCAATGTGCTTCTTCTTGAGGCACTCCTTTGTTGCCTTGGCCGTGTGTGTTTTGGGTCATTGTCATGCTGGAACACCCATCCACCACCCATTTTCAATGCCCTGGCTGAGGGAAGAAGGTTCTCACCCAAGATTTGATGGTACATTGCCCCGTCCATCGTCCCTTTGATGTGGTGCAGTTGTCCTGTCCCCTTAGCAGAAACCCCCCCCAAAGCAGAATGTTTCCACCACCATGTTTCACAGTTGGGATGGTGTTCTTGGGGTCATAGGCAGCATTCCTGCTCCTCCAAACACGGAGAGTTGAGTTGATGCCAAAGAGCTGGATTTTGGTCTCATCTGACCACAACACTTCCAACCAGTCCTCCTCTGCATCATTCAGATGTTCAGTGGCAAACTTCAGACGGGCCTGGACATGTGCTTTCTTGAGCAGAGGGACCTTGCGGGCACTGCAGGACTTCAGTCCTTGTCGGCATAGTGTGTTACCAATTGTTTTCTTGGTGACTGTGGTCCCAGCTGCCTGGAGATCATTGACAAGATCCTCACGTGTAGTTCTGGGATGATTCCTCACTGTTCTCATGATCATTGACACTCCATGAGATGAGATCTTGCATGGTGCACCAGACCTAGGGAGACTGACAGTTGTTTTGTGTTTCTTCCATTTCTGAATGATTCCACCAACTGTTGTCATCTTCTCACCAAGCTGCTTGGCCATAGTTTGGTAGCCCAGTCCAGCCTTGTGTAGGTCTACAATCATGTCCCTGACATCCTTAGACAGCTCTTTGGTCTTTGCCATGGTGGAGAGTTTCGGAATCTGATTGTTTGATTGCTCCTGTGGACAGGTGTCTTTTATACAGGTAACAACATGAGATTAGCAGCACTCCCTTTAAGAGACTGCTTCTAATCTCAGCTTGTTATCTGTATGAAAGACACCTGGTAGCCAGAAATCCTGCTGAATGATAGGGGATCAAATCCTTATTTCCCTCATGAACATGCAGATCAGTCATCATTTGTTAGACATGCATTTCTGCTGAATTTGTTGTTGCTATTCTGTCTCTCAGTGTTACAATACACCGAACATTCGATTTTTAGTCCGATCATTTCTTTGTGAGTGGGCGAACATTCAACATCAGCAGGGGAGAAAATACACATTTCCTTCACTGTAGCTTTGAAATGGGTCCTTCTACAGGGCGGCGCAGTGGATATACGTGATTTTGCCGTTCCTGTCAGCTCCGGCACACACTGCTTTGTATGGCTCTGCATAGCAGCATGCGTACAGTGAAACATACACAGCACACAGTTAACCCTTTGATTGCCCCCAGATGTTAACCCCTTCCTGCCCAGTGCCATTAGTACAGTGTCAGTGATTTTTATTAGCACTGATCACTGTATTGGTGTCACTGGGGATCAGTGACACCAAGTCATTTCCCCCCCCCCGTGTCAGAATGCCCCCGCCGCAGTCCCGCTATAAGTTGCTGATCGCTGCCATTACTAGTATAAAAAAGAAAAAAAATCCCCGTATCTATCCCGCCATTTGTAGACGCTATAACTTTCACGTGAACCAATGAATTTTCACGTATCAGGATTTTTTTTGTGTTTTGCAAGCAAAGACACGGAGCGGAATACATTTTGGTCGAAATTTATGCGCGAAATTTGATTTTTAGTCCTAATGCACACGGGACGTTTTTACAGCGGCTGTTTTTTTGGCTTTTGACGTTTTTTTCTACAGCCAGTAAACCCCCCAGCATGTTCTCCTCGGTGTCCCATACACACACAGACTGGAATCAACGATTTTTTGGTTGGAAACCCCCCCCCCCCCCCCCCCCCCCCCCCCCCCCCCCCCCCCCCCAAGACTAGCAGGTTTATAGAGGAGTTTTTTAGCTGCAACGCCGCAAACCAGAGTTTTTTAGTGTTTTTTAGCATTTTTTTTTTAAACAAAAAAATTAATTTTTTGGTCTTTTTTCCAAGAACGCAGAAAAGAGCGGCTAAACGCTAATGCAAAAACGCTGAAAAACTCATGTTTTTTTAATGTGACTTTACACACCGCAAACGAGGGAAAACAGCAGAACGCTAATGCAAAAACGCTAAAAAACCTCACATTTTTAACTTGACTACACACAGCAAACGTGGAAAAACGTGGCTAAACACTAATGCAAAAATGCTAAAAAAACACTGAAAAACGCACGTTTTTAACACGACTTTACACACAGCAAATGCAGAAAAACTTGGGAGAACACAGCAAAACGCTAATGCAAAAACGCTAAGAAAGTCACATTTTTAACGACTTTACACACTGCAAACGCGGAAAAAACACAGGAAAAACGCTGCAAAACACTAATGCAAAAACGCTAAAAAAACTCACGTTTTTAATGTGACTTTACACACCGCAAACAAAGGAAAACGTGGACAACCGCCAATGCAAAAACAGTAAAAAACTCACGTCTTTAACGTGACTTTACACACCGCAAACGCAGAAAAATGCGGGAAAACACAGCAAAACACTAATGAAAAACGTTAAAAAAGTCACAATTTTAACGACTTTACACACTGAAAGCGAGGGAAAACGCGGACAACCGCTAATGCAAAAACAGTAAAAAACTCACATCTTTAATGTGACTTAACACACTGCAAACGCGGGAAAACGTGGCAAAACGCTAATGCAAAACCGCTAAAAGCCTCACATTTTTTAACGTGACCTTACACACCGCAAACGCGGGAAAACGCGGTAAACTGCTAATGTAAAAATGCAAAAAACTCATGTTTTTAACGTGACTTTACACACCGCAAACGCAGAAAAACATGGGAAAACGTGGCAAAACGCTAATGCAAAAATGCTAAAAAAAACACATTTTTAACGTGACTTTACACACTGCAAACGCAGAAAAATGTGTGAAAACACGGCAAAACACTAATGCAAAAGCACTAAAAAACTCAGGTTTTTAACATGACTTTACACACCGCAAACGCTGGAAAATGCAGCAAAACGCTAATGCAAAAATGCTAAAAAACTCACGTTTTAAACCTGACTGTAGACACTGCAAAACGCAGGAAAACGCGGCAAAATGCTAATGCAAAAAAGCTAAGAAACTCATGTTTTTAACGGGAATTTACACATTGCAAAGGCGGAAAAATTCAGGAAAATGCAGCAAAAAATGCGACAAAACATTAATGTAAAAACTCTAAAAAACATGTTTTTTAACGTAACTTTACACACCGCAAACATGGAAAAATGTGGCAAGCCGCTAATGCAAAAATGGTAAAAAACTCACGTTTTTAATGTGACTTTACACATCGCAAACGCAGAAAAACATGGGAAAATGCAGCAAAATGCTAATGCAAAAACGCTAAAAAAAACCCCACGTTTTTTAACGTGACTTTACACACCACAAATGAGGGAGAATGCGGCAAAACGCTAATGCAAAAATGCTAAAAAACTCACTTGCTCTAACACTGCAAAACACGGCAAAGCGCGTTTTTGGAAGTTTTTTTAGCATTTTTTTTAAACAAAAAAAATATATATATAATATTTTTTGGTCCTTTTTCCACACGCGGAAAAATGCTAATGCAAAACTGCTAAAAAAAATGCTGAAAAACTCACATTTTTAACCTGACTGCAAACGCGGAAAACGCAGCAAAACGCTAAAGCAAAAACGCTAAAAAGCTCACTTGCTCTAACACTGCAACGTGGCAAACCAGCGGTTTTTTTAGCATTTTTTAGCATTTTTTTTGGTCCGTGGAAAAACGCTAATGCAAAACCGCTAAAAAAAAGCTGACGTTTTTAACGTGACTTTACACAGCTAACGTTTCCAGGGTTATTAAAACGCCCCCTCCCCCCCGTGTGCGTGGAACCTTATAATTTTTTTACCGGACACATTTTATAGCAAAAAGCCCAAAATATTTGTTTTTTTTTCAAAATGCTCAGTCTTTTTTTTTTGTAACGCAAAAAAATTTAAAAAATGCACAGGCGATCAAATACCACGGAAAGAAAGCTCTATTGGGGGGAAAAGGACGTAAATTTAATTTGGGTTTGGCGTTGCATGACCGCGCAACTGTCAGGGAAAGTAACGCGGCGCCGTGGTGCGAAAAATGGCCTGGTCAGGAAGGGGAGGGAATCCTCTGGAGGGCAAGGGGTTAAAGTAGTCCCCCTTTAAGCCCCTCCCACTGTCATCCACCCAGCAGGTGCCTGTTCTCTGATGTCCAATAGGATTTGCATTGTGAATGGAACATTTCCCGCACTCTGAACATATAAAAAGGTTCTTACAAGCAGGGGCGGACTGACCATTGGAAACTCGGGCACTGCCCGAGGGCCTGGGGTGAGTAGGAGGCCCTGGTACCTTTTTCATAGGCTTTTTTGAGTTTGGGCAAGGACACAGGGGCCCCATGATCCCCTATTGCCCGGGGCCCCATGAGTTGTCAGTCCGCCCCTGTCAGTCCGCCCCTGCTTACAAGTGTGACTTCCTTGGTGTCAAAGAAGTCTCGGATTCTAGGTGCCATCTACAGTATAACCAGGTGTTAGCCGGTGTGATTTCTCTGGTGTCTGAGAAGATCCCCCCTATGAATGAAACTTTTCCCGCACTCTAAACACGAAAATGGCCGCTCGCCCGTGTGACTCTTCTGGTGCCTAACGAGGGTTCCTTTGTCGATGAAACCCTTCCCGCACTCCGTACAAGAAAAAGGACGCTCACCCGTGTGATTCCTCAGGTGTATGACCAGCGCGTTTTTCAGAATGAAACCTTTCCCGCACTCTGAGCACGAGTAAGGACGCTCTCCTGTGTGAATCCTCTGGTGTATAACTAGGTCTCTCTTCTGAATGAAACATTTCCCGCAGTCAGAACATGAATACGGTCGCTCGCCTGTGTGACTCCTGTGGTGTATAACGAATGCTGATTTCTCGTTGAAACATTTCCCGCACACTGGGCACGAATAGGGACGCTCGCCCGTGTGAATCCTCTGATGCGTGAGAAGTACCTTTTTGACGCTAAAACTTTTCCCGCACTCGGAACATGAATAAGGGCGCTCGCCAGTATGAATTCTCTGGTGTATAACAAGGGCCCCTTTCTGAGTGAAACTTTTCCCGCAGTCTGAACATGAAAACGGGCGTTCACCTGTGTGACTTCTCTGGTGTTTGATAAGGTCTCCTTTATAAATGAAACATTTCCCGCACTCCGCACATGAAAAGGGACGCTACCCCCCCCCGTGTGAATTTTCTGGTGCGTAAGAAGCTTTTCTTTCTCAATGAAACATTTCCCGCACTCCGAACAAGAGTAGGGGCGCTCGCCCGTGTGAACTCTCTGGTGCATGATCAGCTTTCTTTTCTCAATGAAACCTTTCCCGCACACTGAACATGTGTAGGGACGCTCAGTCTTGTGAATTCTCTTGTGTCTACGAAGTGGTCTCCTGCCAGTGAAAAATTTCCCACAGACCGAACATGATAGGGACAGAGAACTCTCTGCTTTGGGAGCCCCTTGGTGGCTTGAAGAGGATTCCTTAGAGTTCGATGGATCTGTTGATGTATTGGTACTGTGAGATCTTATATCCGGAGTAACAGAATGTGATTTATCGGAAGGTTCCTCAGGCTTGGAGGGTCTGTCCACATAGTGAGGTCCGTCATTTGGAGCGCTGGGACTTTCTTCGGGAGAATATTGCTTGATTCTATTATTTTCTGTATTAGATCTTTGAGATAAAAATAAGTTGTCCCTCTGAAGTGTCCCACACGTAGTGTCCATCTATTGGAAGGCAAAGGTTCAAATACACGTTACAACGGTTTCAATGCCTTTCATTCAAAACTCATATGTTGGTTTAGCATCAAGAGTTGGCTTTAGCACTCAAACCAAGAGGATAGAATGTATCAAATCCACATCGGGGGGAGTATAGGGATGGAGCATATGGTGTACTAAACTCATTTGTTGGGAACATGACGTTATATTGAAGAGATGGACCTTCCAATCTCCTCCTCATTTGTTGGGAACATGACGTTATATTGAGGAATGGAGATGGACCTTCCATAAGTATCTCCTCCTCATTTGTTGGGAACATGACGTTATATTGAGGACGGGATGGAGATGGACCTTTCATATGGTGTCCAGTATCTCCTCCTCATTTGTTGGGGAACATGACGTTATAAGAGGATGGAGAGGACCTTTCCAAATGGTGTCCAGTATCTCCTCCTCATTTGTTGGAACATGACGTTATATTGAGGAATGGAGATGGACCTTTCATATGGTGTCCAGTATCTCCTCCTCATTTGTTGGGAACATGACGTTATATTGAGGAATGGAGATGGACCTTTCATATGGTGTACAGTATCTCTTCCTCATTTGTTGGGAACATGACGTTATATTGAGGAATGGAGATGGACCTTTCATATGGTGTCCAGTATCTCCTCCTCATTTGTTGGGAACATGACGTTATATTGAGGAATGGAGATGGACCTTTCATATGGTGTCCAGTATCTCCTCCTCATTTGTTGGGAACATGACGTTATATTGAGGAATGGAGATGGACCTTTCATATGGTGTCCAGTATCTCCTCCTCATTTGTTGGGGACATTGGGTAGTGTGGTATATACTGCCTGCTTTTGATGAGGACTAGAGGTTATTCTTTCATACGCTGCACAATTCTCATAAGACATTGGGTGGTGGGATAGGTACATAGATGATGTTCTTAATGTCAGCAGGTAAGGCTTCTCAATATTTCCTGTACGAGAGGATGAGATGCTCTCCATTTCAAACAAGGGCAGCAAAGATTGTGTTTAATTGGAAAAAAAATTCAACTTTTGTGTATACAGGTAGTTCTTTGGTTTCAGAACTGATGGATGAGGAACAGTCTGGTTCTCGATGACTCACAAATGGCTATTAATATCTGCAGGAAAAAACCTAGTAGAACATTGATCTGGGGAGCTTTGGGACCAGGAAGGATTTCTCAAATTCTGAAGAAAATTGGACCAGGTTTTATTTGGGTGTTCTGGATCAACTTGTACTTTATTTTCTTTTTTTGCTTTTATTTTGAGTTGGTTTTGACAGATATTTTCTTAACTGGTTCAATGTAAACACAAACACTTGTTCTCATAGAAGCAAAATGAAAATCTGAACAGTTTTCTGTATTTAGTGTTTGTTACTTACTTGTGCCAATATAAAGTGAAGATTCCTCCTCTTTACTTTTCATAATCCTCTCCCCCTCCTCCATAGACTGCTGATTTCCACTCACCAACGTCTCTTCTTCTTCCTCTTTAACCTCAACTTTGATGTCTTTCATATTTTCAGCCTAAACCCCAAAGATGATAGAATACATTTGTTAAGAGGACAAAGAGTTTTCACAGAAGAATGTCCTCTCAAAACTTCTAGTTGCTCAGTCCCACCTACCTGAGGGATGGTGTGACCTTCCTCTGTGGAATCCCGGGAATACAGAGGACGGGGACATCTCTCTGGTGGGTTCCCATTACTGGATCCATCTGTAGGAAACACACACACTGACTGAATCCATTGTTTCTATGTGTTTATCAGATGATGGGGGATCTAGGTGGACCCTCCGTACTGCTCTCTCCTTTACAATAAAGTCTCCTCTTACCCGGTGATGTGAGGGGTGACTCATTCTCCATCTTGATCTTGTGTCCTTCTAAATACTCCTCCTCCATGGAGAACAGATGGTGATATCCTAACACCTTATAGGAACCTGACACACACAATGATACAGTCACCATCCAGACACATCCATTGTCTGTTACTGGAGAATGTCCCAGAATTCCCGGCACCGCTCACCTCTCCTGTCAGCAGATCAATGATCTTCTGGGTGACTTCTAGAATCTTCTTGGCACTGGTTCCCTCTGTTGTCAGGCAGTGAGGTGGAGGCCCTATGATGGGTGATGTCCTGTGAAGATGGCTGCTGGGTGGTAATGGCTCACCAGATATTTTCTTCACTACTTTAAAACACTTTTAAAGAGAAGGTAACAATGGTCACTCCCGACCTCCAATAATCCTCCTCATCTTTACTGTTAGGTCTGTCTTTTTATCACTGTGGATGGACGGTTGGATAAATGGTTCTATATTTAGGACGTATCCGGTCTATAAACCAGAGGCTCTGGATGGACGGTTGGATAAATGGTTCTATATTTAGGATGTGTCCGGTCTATAAACCAGAGGCTCTGGATGGACGGTTGGATAAATGGTTCTATATTTAGGACGTGTCCGGTCTATAAACCAGAGGCTCCGGATGGACGGTTGGATAAATGGTTCTATATTTAGGACGTATCCGGTCTATAAACCAGAGGCTCCGGATGGACGGTTGGATAAATGGCTCTATATTTAGGACGTGTCCGGTCTATAAACCAGAGGCTCCGGATGGACGGTTTGGATAAATGGTTCTATATTTAGGACGTGTCCGGTCTATAAACCAGAGGCTCCGGATGGACGGTTGGATAAATGGTTCTATATTTAGGACGTATCCGGTCTATAAACCAGAGGCTCCGGATGGACGGTTGGATAAATGGTTCTATATTTAGGACGTATCCGGTCTATAAACCAGAGGCTCCGGATGGACGGTTGGATAAATGGTTCTATATTTAGGACGTATCCGGTCTATAAACCAGAGGCTCTGGATGATGATGAATATAAATATAAAATAAGACCTTGTCACCTCCTCTGCTGCTGGTTGCAAGAAAAAATCTCCCTCTACTTCCTCCAAGATTTCCTTGCTCCCGTGACTTCCTGTCTTTGTTTGGCGTCACTTCCTGTCTCTGTGTTCCAATGACAAGCAGTGAGCTCACCACCTTGTGGAGAGAATACAAACTGCCTCCCGTGTTTGTAAATACTTTCTTCTAGGTGAGTTTTTCGGTATTGTTGAGCATTCTGCAGCCAAATCCTAGTAGAAAAAAACTGCTACAGGGCGGCTGCTCCACGCAAAACCGCGTAAATATACATGATTTTGCGTCTCCGGGCAGGGGGCGCGCGTTGCCCTACCGGAGCTGCTATTGGCTGCTGGGGATGTCAGTCACCTGGTCCTGGTCAGTGATTCCCGGCTGGAACTCGGTGATCGCCGGCAAACAACACGGGTCTCTCTCCTGCCAGCAAGCACATTCTTCTTTGTATCTCTCTGCACAGGAGCATGTCTCCCAACACACAGTTAACCCTTTGATGGCCCCAGATGTTAACCCCTTCCTGCCCAGTGCCATTAGTACAGTGTCAGTGCTTTTTATTAGCACTGATCACTGTATAGGTGTCACTGGGAATGTCAGTGACACCATGTCAGTTCCCCCCCAGTGTCAGAATGCCCGCTGCAGTCCCGCAATAAGTCGCCGATCGCCGCCATTACTAGTATAAAAAAAATCCCCAGTATCTATACCGCCATTTGTAAACGTTATAACTTTCACGTAAACCAATTAATTTATACGTATCGGGATTTTTTTTTCAACAAAGACACGGAGCAGAATATATTTTGGCTGAAATTTGTGAAGAAATTAATTTTTTTTTTACTGGACATGTTTTATAGCAAAAAGTCAAAATATATATTTTTTTTTTTTCTTCAAAATTGCCAGTCTTTTTTTTTACAGCGCAAAAAATAAAAAAACGCACGGGTAAATCAAATCCCACCGAAAGAAAGCTCCATTTGTGGGGGGTTGAAAAAATGGCAGAAATTTCATTTATGTACAGCATTGCACGAGCGCACAATTGTCAGTTAAAATAATTCAGTGCCAATCACAGGGTATCACACAATACTTTGGCCAATCACAAGGCATAATGATGTCACAAGGGGTCGGGGGTGATCTGGCCCCCTTGTGACGTCATCACGCTATCAGATGGCGGGAGCCAGCGTCGCGATTGGAGAGTTTTTTTTTTCTTTTTTTTGGGTAGCAGCGGGTGGCGGGCATCCTGGGGCCTCTTGGTGTCCGGTGATCAGAGTCTGGAGGAGGATTAGACCCGGAGCTCAGTTAAAATAATGCAGTGCCAATCACAGGGTATCACATAATGTTTTGGCCAATCACAAGGCATGATGATGTCACAAGGGGGCGGGTGCGATCTGGCCCCCTTGTGACGTCATCACGCTATTTAGCGTCAGACGGTGAGAGCCAGCGTTGCGATTGGAGAGTGTTTTTTTTTTTTTTTCTTTTTTCGGGTAGCGGCGGTGGACGGCAT